TACACTGATACTTGACTGGGGTCTCTGCCATTTAAGAATCATTGGAATACAAGCAAACAACGCAGCTGCATCTACAGGAAGCAAGTTACTAAAGATTCCTTCTACTTTCTATACGTGCAAATACAGTCAAACCTTGCTCTCATTAGTACTGAAAACATTATGCCTAAATGCTAATCTAAATTAAATAGAAACCAAGCCATCATCCAAAGTTGGCTATTTATTTACCATATGCAGCATTAAGCGACTAACCTGCTGCTGTAAAAATAAGTTATTTAATCACTAGTAGTAATGCTTTTTCTAGCGAATGATTAAACTCCATTCTAAAATGCCATCAGATTAACAAACAAGAAGAGAGCCTATTTACACAGGCATGGCTTTAAGTGAAAAGGGTGATTTCTTCCTCATGAATTTTCTTGGAAACAGCAAATGTAGTGATCTTTTTAAAAAAGGAACGGTCTAATACAATACTCTAACAAAGACTTTCAGACATGTTTATGTTTTAGAAATTAAAAAAAAATCCATACTGCAGCATTCAAGTTTTATAAAAGCTTCCTTCTCATCTATAGAACCCTGTAAGTATTGAGGCAGAGAAGTTATGCCAGGCAGTTAGTTACTTGATAGGTACATGTAGAACCAAGCAATTTCTCATTGAGTCATTAATTCATATGGAGACGATGACATCTGATATGCTTAAATCTTTTGCAACTCTAATTCAGATCAAGTAAGTAATAGGGGTGTACCGATAGAGATTTTGGGGGCTGATATCGATAGCCAATTTTTAAGAAGGTGTATATGGCTGATTCAGATCCAATTTCTGATACAGCTGCATCCAGCTGGTAAGTCTGTTCTGGTGGAAGGGGAGGAGGGAGGAAAGGGGACTCTGGGGGGCAGATCAATGCCCCCCATGGTGAGGGAGGGAGCAAGGCTGGGGCAGCTTGCCTGGAGGGTGCGGGGATGGGGGAGGTGGCTCCCACTTCTGTGGACACCCCCAGAGGGCACAGGATGGGGGCAGGGGGGAGGGGATGCCCCCAGATCTGCATGGGGCAGAGCAGGCTGCAGCTGCAGGCTGGAGCCAGGGCAGTGCTGGGCTCTTCCCAGTGGGGACTGGGCTTCACGGGAAGAGGGGCTACAAGGGGGCTGCAGCCTCCGCAAATTTTGCTATGGCCCCCCCACAGCTCCCCCTCCCAGCACTGCTTCCAGCCACCCCAAGCGCACCCCCATCCTAACCCTTCCACTCCTGCTCCCGCCCCTTAAGTGCCAGGAAGAGCCTGGCGCAGCTCCAGTCCCAGCCTGGCGCAGCCCACCCCACCCGTGCTCAGCGGAGATCTATGCCCCCCCCACACTCACCATGTCCTCTGCACATGCCTATATAAAGAAAATTGCAGAGATACACCCACTACCTTCAGAGGGTGTTACAAATTGCCTCTCACCTTTCCAAAAATAAAGTAATGTCACAAGCCAACTGCTAGCTAATGATCTAACACTAAAATAGCCACAACTGGGGATATGCAGTATGAAAAATCACCTATACAAGTACCTCATCATTATCCTCATCCATATACTTAATTTGAATGTTGTTCAGGTCGAATGAAACTTTCACCTGAAAGAAAAAACAAAGATTGACACTTGACAGTTCTTAACTAGTCAGTCCCTTCCCTGTCCTCGCTCATTTAAAGCTCAATGAAGTTTTATGAAGTCCATTTTTCTGCAGTCCAGCAATGTCACTGCCTCTTCTTCAGCCATTATACAGTTTAATCATCCAATAACAAAAC